GGGGGGGGTTAGCGTTAGTATGGGTGGGAGTGTAAGTACTGACCAAAAAAAGGAGGAAAAATAATGGATGGATATACATTGAGTGGGAGAAGAATGCAGGGGATTGGTTCATTATAGATATGCGGAAAAAGGAGGGACACTTTTCGGAAGATAAGAGTGATGCCGGACAAACGGGGGAATCCGCTCGTGTCAGTCGTGTTGTTGCTGGACTGTTTGAATGAAATTACTATTCACATCATAAGGGAGAGCTCTTCCCATGTTCATCTATCGTATTACTTGTTTGCGTGTGTATGTCTATAGGGATGATACCAATAACAAGACTGGTGATTTCTTTTATTTAAGCGTTCACTTTCTCTCACAACCTGCTATTATATTTCCCCTGTTTGTTAAGCAACATGGCGGCAGGAGTTCATCGCTTTTGCTTCAGATACGATCACTGAGATTCAGTTCAGTTCAACTCAACTCAACCTCTCAACTGGTCCACCGCTACAGATTCTTCACCATTTCATGTGTGGGACAACTACATAGAATGAGTCTTATATGGTTCAGGTAGGTTTGGTTAAGGTAGGTTGGTTGGTTGGTTGGTACCAGGCCTGATAATGTACCACTTTATGTGCTTTGTTTTTGGAACTTGGCTTTGGAACTTGATCTTAAATATAACCGCTGTATTCCTTACTCAGTATAGCATAGCATAGCTTAACTTTAGCATAGCTTAGCTTAGCTCAACCTAGCATAGCTTTAGCTTATCAAGGTACACTAAGTATAGTAAGTTGTTTTGAAACATTTCCGCAACTCATCCTTTTCAAACAATGGAAGCCTGTCTGTCTCCCTGATTCTGAGTTCGAAAACGAATTCATTCTTTTCTTTCATCAATATAAACCATGCAATCAACATGAATGCCGTATAAGCTCTGTCTGTCTGTCTGCCTCTTTGCCCCTTCTTGTCCCTTCTTGTCCCTGTCCATGTCACACTTGTTCTATACACTTTCAAGAAGACGCAGTCCAAGTCAAAGTCAAAGCTATACGATACAGAACACAAAAAAAAACAAAGAGAAGAAAAACAAACATTTCCGCTTCTTGGTGGTGATATTCCCCCCCTTTTTGCATGAGTCCGATATCCTTTTGCCTTCCTTCCTTCCTCCCTCCCCCCTTCCCTGCTCTCCGCTTCTCTTCTCTTCTTTTCTCTTCTATTCTCTTCATCACCCGAACTGAAGTAGCCCGACATACGATCTTCGTTGGTCTCGGTTTCTCTTTTTTTTCTCATTGGGAATCCACCCTGACTCCTACTCTTATGCAAAATCGCGATGAGTTTACACAGAAAACAAACGCTAGCCATTGATCGGTAAGGGCAGTTCGGCAGTGTCTTTGCGACATAATATAGTAAAGACAAACGAGAAGCTTTGTGTGTGTATAACAAGTTTCCGAGAATACAGAGAAGAGAAGAGAAGAGAACAAAGTTGGTTTGGTTAATCGAGTTGATTTTGTCTGTTTTTTTTTTTCGGGCGTGGTATCTTTTTCGCTGTATCATTTTCCCGTAAACCGCTTCCCGCCGGGCACCTGATCTTATGCATACGGAGCACCAAGTCAATGTTGGGCGGGCACTGATTTATGATGCCCTTCACCCAGGGCATTGCAGATGAAATCTCAGCCCCTGCGTGTCACTTCCTTCCTTAGTGATCTCTCAGCTTGACACTCCTCATCTTTCGACGAAATCATTCAGTGGCATGAGAAGATCTCATCTTACCCCGCCTGTCAGACCACCGCTGTAGCTTCCTGGTACATCTAGCCCTCTTGGAAAGCCAGCGGGTGTCATGGCGAGCTTTGAGAGTGTCCTATAGCTCCTCCTCGTCCATCTCACCACCCATCGTCTGCGGTAGAGGCGTCTCCGCGGCTTGGGCGAGTATCCCATTAGGACCTGATGGCACCGAAGGCACGAAAGAGCTGCCGCCCAGTGGCTTCACATCACTGCCCACGTCGTCTACGCTCGCACGAGCCTTCTTCATGGGACTACCCACAGCGGCGGCCTCGCCGGTTAGGCTCTTGGGGAATAGTGATGACAGGCCAGCGGTCGTTCCTGGCGCGCTTCCGTTCTCTGGGGCGGCACCTCCAGCTTGTGTACCAGTGGTGCTGCTTTGACCCGCGTCGTGAGCACGCTTGAGCTGTTGAGGGTGTCAGTTCACTGAAAGTTGACACTAGAAATAAATACCACGGGGCCACACACCTTTATGCGATTTACTCCATCCGCCAACTCTCCAGTAAACTTGACGTCCTCTGGACCCTGCTTGGAAGGGTCGACATTGTCTTCGTCATTAGCAAGCATCTTGTCGCTGATATCGTCGTCGTCATCTTCGTCATCGCTATCTTCATCCATGGCACCGGCCTTGCCATTGGTGTTCTTGCGCGACTTCTTCGGCCTCGGCTCTGCATCGCGATCACGGAACGTCGAGAAGCCCACGGTACCTTGCTTCTTTAAAGGTCCCAGGCTGGAGAAGTCGAGCTGTGCGGATCGTCGCTTGGCGGCAGTTGGACTGGTAACTTGCTGCTTCTCGGAGGCTAGGACGCCCATCTTCTGTAGTTGGCCTGTAATCAACGTGGGTCAGTCTACTGTTTGTCTTTGTGCTTTGGTTATGGGACTTACGCTCGCCGCGGTAGAAAAAGGTAAAAACGGCATAAGGCTTCTCTGGACCGTCAATACCGGTCACTGTCTGAGTGCTAATAGTTTTCGGATCAAGTGTCTTGGGCTTTGCAAAGCTAGTGGTGTGCTCCACATCCGCATCGATCCCATTGTTGCCGCTCTTGGAGCCGCCTTCCTCGTCATCGTCATCATGGGCGTCGAACTGGGGACTGTATTCTCCCTTTTTGATTTCACCAGACGCAATAACGCGGAACATGGCCACCTTAATCTGCCCAGTGGCCTCGGGGGGCTCGTCGTCATCCGAGGAGGAAAGCGAGGCATCTTCGTCTACGGCCTCGACCGGCCTGTCTTCGGATCCATACCTAAGGGTACCCTGCAGACGGCCCGAAGCTGCGTTGCCCTCGGAAATGGCCTTTTGCCTCCTACGGCGCTTCTCGAACTTTTGCCTGCGGCGCTCGAGCTTCTCGGCGGCGTCATGGCCTTGGAGATCCAGGCCGTTAAGCCATCTCTCGAGACCGACCTCGCGGAAGAGGAACTCGCGCTCGGCTAAACCTCCGCCTTCAGATGGGGGTACCTGAACCCACCTGCTATTGACCCAGGTTTCCTCGCCGGGGCGCAATAGAGTAGCTACTTCTTCCTTGGCCCTGCCGTCAAAGTAAATGTAGGCAGCGATGGTCTCGTTCTCACTATTCGTCATAGGAATGTAAGGAGCCACAACGCCATGGTACTTTCCGCGCTCGCCCGTGCTGGTGGGCATGGTGCCGACAAAGGCCGGCTTCGGATAGGGATTGTTCTCCGTGGCCTTGGGTGTCGAGTAGGGTATCGCCAGACCTGGGGTGAGCAGGGTGATGGAGATGGCGAACTTGGCGGCCTCGGGCTTGCCAGAGTCGGGGCTGATCTGGGGCTGAGGTACGGGGATGTAGGTGTTGATTCGCGAGACGCGGGACTGTTTCTGAATGCCATATTCGGGTAGGGGCGCTCCGTTGGCGTGAATGCTCACGGCAATGCCCTTGAAACAGGGCATTTTGTCGGTTGTCGTGCCTCGGCCAAGGGCCTATGTTGTTCTACGTGGGTGGACCTAAGCGGTTGGTGTTGTGGGTTGTAATGGCACGGCCGGTCTCGCGAAGGTGGGAAAGCGGGGGAGACAGGGCGCGGGCACGTCGGCGGTGGTACGATGTTGTAGTAAGAGAATGTATTCTTCGCGTTTCTACTGGTATAGCTGGTAAACGAGAAAAAGAGGCAAGCTGGGTGGTAGCTAGGTAGGTAGGTATGTTTATGTTGTTGCGTAAATGGAGGGGCGTTGGCCGTGTTCGTTGCTTGCTGGTGGCTTGTTGCAGGCAAAGTGACGACAGAAACAGGTGTAGGTATCGGTAAGGGTGGGACGGATGGATGGGTATCGCTGGTCGGTACAGATAAGTTGTAATGCCTAACTGCTTGTCTGGAGAATGGAATGGGGCGGCGGCCCGCGTCCGTGACAAGAAGGCACGAGACGGGTCTGGTGGGCGCGCTTCGTTGTCTTAGTTGCTGAGTAGTCTACTTCTGGGACAGTGGAGGATAGGATAGCAGTGTTGAAGGAATGGAAGGGGTGCGAGTCTCGAGTTGGAGATGTACACTTCTGTCTCCTTCTCTTTCGGGAGTAGGTACAAGCTACAGGCAGCGGGTTCGATTAAAACAAGAGGTGGAGAGGGGTTGGGCCGGTCCACGGTTCGCGCTTGACACGGCCACCGACCAAAACGAGGCGGTTAGTTGCTCACCTAATTACCTTACCTTACCTTACCTTACCTTGCCTGCCCTTGAAAACAATGAGGTGGTGCTAAGTACGGCAGGACTTCACTTGCACAGGCAGGATTAAAGTTGGAATTCAATTCCTCTTGCACACCTTGGCAATTTTAAAGGTAGGTTGAGTTAGGTTTTATCCCATTTCGAATTGCCAGATCAACAGAAAACGCAAGAAACTCGAAGGTGGCCGATGCCGTGCTGCCTGCCACCTGACACGAACCTGCCCCGAGCGTCTTTTACCTAGGTAGGTAGGTACACTCACTCCCGTCTCGAGCTCACACAGCGCATGTCATTGTCCCAAAGCTCAGAACAGAGAGAAATTGGATTTATTTGTAACAAACTCTAAATTGGTAGTAACCTACCAGTAATAATTATTCAGCGAGAAAGGCACCGTCATCGGTCCATTCGCAGCCTCAGCCAGACCAGGAAATTACAGATGTGACGGTTTTAATATGAGTCGGTTGAGGCTGAAGAAATGCCACTGCAACAAGTGAGGTTCAATCAATCAATCAATTTGAGCAGCAGCTGGGGGGGAATTGAATTGAATTGGGGGAGGGGAGGGGACGACGAGGGGTCACGCTCACGGTCGGTCGGTCGGTGATTGTCATCGATTGATCTGTTCTCAGTTTCTGGAGGGGAAGGGGATTGATTCCGAAAAAAAGTGGAGACCCCACCTCATCGTTTGTTAGGTCGTTAATGACTTGGAAGCACGGGCCAACAATGCTATGCTGCTCACTCAGACGGGGAAGAGGACGGAGGAAACAACGAGCTCAAAAAGGTCAAAAGCGCACGGACTCTCCATCAATTGTTCCTCGCTTCATTCA